TATATATATATATAATAAAATCTTATATTGACAATTTAAACTGAATCTGTAAAAATTATTTCTCACATAAATATTCAAGATTTGAATGTATTGAAATACACTTAGTACATTCAAGTGTATTTCAATAATATAATTATAAAGATAATAAAAGCATTATGATATACATGGATAAAAATGTTTTTGTCAGGATTTAAAATTTTTAATTATGTGATATACATTATAAATGTTATGATTCAGAAGAAAAGAAACTAATAAAAATATAAACAATTTTGATTTGGTAAATTTTTATAAACTAATCAGTACTAACTTATTTATAGGGGTGCTGTATTAATATTGCTATCTTCTAATCACTTCAATCCTTTTATTAGGTTGATTCTTCTCACAGCTAACTGCTGTGAGAAAAATAAACCTAATAAAAGGATTGAACTGTTGCTTCATGACACACTTCTCTATGTTATGTTTATTAAATGAATATATTATATTGATTAAATAACTCTAAATAATAATAATAATAATAATAATAAAGAAAATCAATTATAAGATTTTAAAAAATGCATTCAAAATAATGCAAATTAACAATTATAAATTTAGTTAGTTTTTTAAAAAATATGCAGATGAATTTAAATTACTGTAATTAATTAATCAACTTTACTGTGTGGACATTGTGCCATTCTATGAGGCATCAAATACATTTACTTTGATACATTGTAGAAACTAAAATATTTGACTCGAGATTTTGGATTTTTCTGGCAATTTTGGATACATTACCATGGTCAAAAATACATATCCTTTTGACTATAGCAATTTCATTTTTCTTTTTATAGAAAAGTCTGCTTGTACTCAAAACTTTCATGACAGTGAGTGAGTAACCTAATACAATTTTATATTAGATGAAGCATATTTTGTTTAGATTATAGAACAGTGATGATTTTTCTATTTCATACCGATCAGAAACAGTAACATAAAAATTTTATTTTTTTATAATATCATTTAACTATATTGGTATCATATAGTACATATACAGGAATTACATATAAAAGGTAAAAGTTTAATATCAAAAAGTTTATCTACAATATGGTTTTTTTTTCCCAATTTTGACATTTTTTGACACTTCACTCTCTGTGCACTATGAGGATTTTCTATTCACACCCATTGTCAGTTCAATCAAGCTCACAATGGAGATAGCTAGATGACAAGGGATGAATGGGCCCAACTTATAAGTTATAATGAAGGTTAGGACATTGAGGCACTAAAAAATCATACATATAGTTGTAAAAAGATTTTTATTGCTTAGATGTCCTAGTCTCAGTCATAAATAAGATAAACATTTTTGTTTAATTCTTGCAATCAATTTTATGAAAATACAAATTATATATGAAATTTGTATTAAATATTATAAAGTATAAATTAAATTCAACAAAGAATTCTAAAATAAACTTAAGATGACATTTTTTTTGAATTATTATATACAGGTACACCACCAAATATCTGGCACCCATGGTTTCAAGCCTTGCCTAATTAACCATTTTGCCAGACCAAACGTGGTTACATATAACAAAAAAAAATAACTTACTGGAATATAAATACTTAAAATAACCAAACACCTTAATATTTTCAGCAATGAAGTATTTAATAAAATAAAAATGTTTTCAGCTATTTTTAATAGTCTTCTTCAGTTAAACCACTTTAAAACAAAAAAGAACGTAAAATAGAACGCAAGCAATACAATGTTTTAAAAATTTGAAAATAATTACAACAAAATAAAAATAAAATGAAACAAAAAAACAAAATTAAATTAAAGTAAAGTATTAAGAAAAAATTAATCGTCGTGGTAAAAAGATTTCCATGCAGAGGACAGACTTTCTGCATCTCTATGGTTGATGCATCCTTTGTCAATATGGGTCTTGTAAATTTCAAGTTTTTCAATATGTTTAAGTACTTGTTTGTTGGTGGCAGTCCTAATTATGGATGCTTTGTCCCAATGAACATTAACATTCTGATGTTTAGCGAAGGCTGCAAGGACAATACTGTCCAAGTTTTTAATAATGGAATATTTATGCTCTTTAAGCCTCTGTTTTAAAAGTCTCATAGTGGCCCCAACATAAATGAGATCTGAATTAAAACGGCGATCACTTAATGGAATAGAATACACTCCTGTACTATCGTTACAGTTTCCTTTCTTCTTAACATTTTGTAGAATTCTATAAATCGTAGGATTACAACGATAAATCATTCTTAAATTATTCTTGCGAGCTAATTTTTTAATCATCGAGTGTAGGAAAGGTATATAGTTGAGAACTACTCTTCGTCCTTGGTTTGTAGTTGTAAGTTGCTTATTTGTTTGATTACAGTATTTAGCAATGAGAGCATTAATTTCACTTATACGATATCCTTGTTGAACAGCTATTGTACATATGTAATTTAATTCTCTATGTGTATCAAACATACTCCTACAGTGGGTGTAGGCCCGCTTTATCCATGATCGGAAGGCTGCATGCTTAAAATTCGTAGGATCAAAGGAATTCTTCGGTATAATAATAGGTAGATAGCTAGGCTTCAGTGTGTCATTTGTTTTCAAGTTCTCACCAATGATAGCCTTAGACTTGAAAATCTTGAAAGACATCTGGAAACAGTGCATGAAGATTATGTACAAAAGGATTGTGAGTTTTTTTGTTTGAAAGAAATGGAATTGAACAGCAGAAGACTGTAATGTCAAAAGATGCCATGATATTGCAGAAAGCATTAAAAGCTTCTTGTGTAGTGGCTATGAAAATCACTAAACGTAAAAATCCACACACTATTGATGAGAATTTGTTGTCTCCGACAACTGTAGATATGTGTTACTTTATGAATGGAGAGGCAGCTGCAAAAGCATTATGACCTATTCCACTATCAAATAATACAGTTTCATGACTTAATGTGGTGAATGACCTGCACATGGGACTGACAGAGTTAGAACCGAAATAAAATCGTTTGTATAATTCAAAACATTTTTTAAATTTACATTATTATAACTTTATTCAGAAGGAATAAAGGAAGAAAGGTTAACCTAATAAATGTTACCAATAAAGATATAAAAATATAGTTAAAGATAAAAATAAAGTTACACAGATATTACCCATTTTATTTGTGTAAAGTGTGTAGGCAGGTATATCTGTAATTTTTAATAGTGAAATTGTAGTTTTGTTTCACGTATCATTTAATTTGTAAAAAAAAAAATTTCTGAACACAGAGCAATAAATACATGTGTGCATGAAGGGGAGGCACCATTACATGTGAGCCCTGATGGAGGAGGAATACCATAGAAAAGGTTGGAATCACTGGTCTAATGTATATCATGGACTGCTAAAAACTTAAATAAATTAATGAAATACAGGTACTTGTACAATAATGCATTATTGAAACATAATAATTAATCAAAAATTAAATGCAATTTTTTAAATTTCTGTACTTACAAAGAATGATGCAGCACTACTGCTTGCTCCCAAAGTGGCAAATTTTAGAAAGTGATGTTTAACTTTTAATGGGTTTAGTGTTGTTAGTGATGTTTAAGTTTGACACCACCACTGACACCCATCTCTCTTAGAAGACAAAGCTAAGGTTAAATTTAAGCAAAATAAACTCAGAATATCACAAAATCGTGGTATTACCACCAACAAGTGCAATGTAAATAAATATGACCTACATACAATGCCATCTGTGGCTGAAAGAATTTCAAGTTCCCTCTCATAATTTTGTCCAGATTAAAGGAGGTGCTGGAAATTTGTTGTTGTACCTGTATTTCAAATTCAAAGTAATTTATCTGAAACATGTAAGCAAGAGGAAGAATATTTAAAATGAAAAAATAATTTAACCAATATGTTATAATGGCATTAAACTATTTAATGTATTGATATATTTGATTTTTACATTAAGGCTATATCTGGATTCCTTTGAACAAATGGGATAATAATAACATACAAATGAATTATTAATAGTAGCAGTGAATACAAATTATTATTATTCACCACTACTACTAATTTATATTAAGTTAGGAACTATATTATTGCAGAGCTAATTTAATTTGTACACAACAGTTTAAAAATTCTAAATTACATTCAATCAATATATAAATCAATTCTTTTTCAGACTGGGCACTTTTACAATATGTTCAAAATTTATTTTTTAAATTGACTTTTGATATTGAACTTTCTATTGGTTATTTATTTAGTTTTATTATTATTATTATTTTATTCATTATTAGTTTTTATAGTTATTGACTTTTTAATATATCATAATTATTCTAAATTAAAAATTTATGCTAATAAAAAAAACTTGTACTACTATTACATGCATTGCTGGAACAAAATGACATTAGAAAAATAGAATTGAACAAAAAGTAAATGTTTTAGAATAACCTAATAAATTTCAATATAAAATTGTAAGTAATAAAAAATGAACAATGAGATTTTTTATAATGTATGACTTACTATAAAAAATACCTATTATACAGTACTAATTCCACTTATGAATTCATTTACTATGTTTAATTTTAGAGTTAATTTATACCTAATTTTATTACATTCTCTCACTTATTTTTGAAGTAAGATTACTATACTAATTCTACTATACTAATTGAGAACAGTTTCATTATTTTCAAGAGTTAGCAAACAAAAATAAATAAATAAATCATCTGATGATTCTATTCACTATCAGTAAATTTCAAGTAAATTCATTTATTTTGTCTTTTTCACAGGACAATACCCTGAGTCAATTAGATTTTTGATAATCAAACTCAGACAAATCTTGAAATTAATTATATTCAGAATATGTATTTTAGCTGAAATCTCAATTTATATTTACATAATTAATTAATTTGTTTATTCTTCTTATAAAAAAAAGATATATTACTTTCATTAGTTGTTTAATAATTACTCAATTTAAATCATGCATCCAACAAAAACTTTTAAACTCAAATATTAAAAATAACATCAAATTTTTCTTTCTAAATGTTAATTTTTACTCAATATTTTGACAATGATAACTGGATGGCTAGGTGGTTAAGGTGGTGGCTATTGCTCTGGGGATCTGGGATTGAATCCAGACAAGTCAAGAAACCCCAGGAATTTTTCAATGGGTAGTCTGTTTGTATATATCAGGCTCTGTCCCTGACAACACAGCTACCCCAATGTGGGCCTGGCCAAAATCATAATGGACTTACTAAAAACAGGCCCTCATAGTACCCACGGGCTGAAAGAGTTTAAAAAATTATTTTGACAACAAATATTTTTAGTTTTCTAAACACAAGTTAATAAAGTTTGATTAAATATGGTAAATATTACTTACTGCATTCTTTTGATATAAATAAACATTTATCTTTCCAGTTCCATCTTGTAATATTAAATCCAATAAATAAGTATATTGCAGGGCAAAACATGGTGTGGATATGCCTGAAGAAGGAAAAAGTATTTTATTTAATACATAAATTATTGTGAATAATAAAATATTTATTGCTCACAACATGAGGCTAACATGTATAACATACTATATCATAACAAAAAAAACTTTAGAACAGAAAATTAATTTAAGGTCAAAGCAGAAATAAATCTCATTTAATTAAGCACATTTGTAGCCTAAATGATGGGCTATCTAATCTCATCTAAAAGTACCACAGCAACTCATATTTTATCTTTAATTTTTATGATAGTCACTAAGGGAAGCAAGATTTTACATTTTGTAGAGTGACATAAATTAGATATATCTGTGAGCTGCCGGGCGGGTTGGAAATTCTTCTCAGTGAAATCAGTTAGTCAGTGACCTACTTTCAACTTCGTCAGTTAGTCAGTGACCTACTTTGTCAGGGAGGGTAGTAACGTTCAGTTACGTGTTACGCGAGTGGAGGAGAGTCAGAGGGGTCGACGATAAGACGTTGGCTATGTCGAGTAAAGACACCATTTTAAAACAAAACAAGAGTTTATTACAATCATCGACGGAAAAAATTTACAAACCTAATTACTCTAAGTTCCATTATATCAACCTATCCTGCTACTACGCGGATGGCAGAGAGAGAGAGTTTACAAATATGCATTCATACCTCTTCGCATATACTAGTGGGATATTTTCCCGTGATGTCCAAATGGATTCTGAGCGGTGACACAAGTGTAGGTCTGTGACTCAAGTGTAAGTCTGTGATGGGGAAAGCGATGTCCGACTTCGACGTTCAGCGATTTCCCCGAGAGGGAAAGAATGATGGCTTTTATACTTTATGTGATGGGAAAATTAGTCAGGTGATCAATTATTTTAGCAGGTGTGGGGTTAAAAGTGGTGATAGAATGGCAACAATATGATGAATTCTGCCTGTAAGTGTAAAAAGTGTAAACTATGCACAGATTCCTCGTGAGAATGTTTATATTAAGACATAAAGTTCCCACAGACTCTATATTTCGATTTTGTAGGTACGGAATAAATTTATTTTAAAAATTAACTAAATTTGGAGCCTCACATATCATTTTGTTTTCTCAGAATATAAATAATATAAAATTATATAAAATGGGTAGTTTAATCACATTTTTTTGATCAATTGATTATATGAGATTCCAGAATACTAAGGCTATATGTGGCTAGTCACAATACTTAAATTCAGCCAGTTTAGTGAGCGATGGGAATCTATAAATTACAGGATCTCAGTCAGATTCAAACTTTGATCTTGCATGGTTATACATGACATTATCTCAANATTAATTAGGGGGGTCGGAAATCGCAATTAAAATCTTAATTTTTTAAAAATATTTTAAAATATAGGCGTCGCTCATATTCACCTTACTTTAAACCCTTGTCCTCCCGAGACGTCTATGAGAATGCCCCAGGAAATCCGACTCCAGCTGTTTTCAAGGTCATCCAGCTGTGTAAACAATGACTCATCAGTGTTAAATTTCACAGAAAGGCGAGACAAAAGAAAATAAAATTTGAAGCTTTTTCTTCAAAATAACCGCATTTCTTTCATTTTTTTTTCAGTTTTAAGTATTTTTTATGCTTAATTACATCATAATTAATGACAGGTGGGCGTTAAGGGGTAATTAAGGAATGCTCCCCTAATCTTGAGAGAGGAGGAGTTCCAGAATTGGCCTCACCAGCAATAAAGGAGACTATCATTTGGGTTTTTCAACTCTGAATAACTAATTTCACATCTAGAACGTCTCTTTCCAAAATCAAAAAATATTCTTTGAATCAAACATGTCTCCATTATCCATTTGAATCATCTTTTGAAAACATTCTAAAGAATATTTTTGAGTCAAATGTGCCTTCTGTTCTCCATTTAAAGTCTCTATTATAAATTTATGACCACTTAAAATTATTATTTTTCTTTTACATGGAATCACATTACCAACATCCAATTCTGACAAAGGTGTTTTTGATTTAGCATTAACAAATATTTTCAACACTTATTCAAATTCAGGAAGTCCAATCCCAAATATGTTTTACTGCTTCTTTCTATTCACTAAAATAATTAAACTACAATTATAATAAAATTACAGCAGTGATATATACAATGAGCTGCTAAGAGAATGAAACGAAATGCTTTTTATATGCAAAAAGAAATTCTTAAGATGATATCTTATAAGCCACATACAACAAAATCTCATTTTAATGGATCAATCAGGGCACCAAAAATCATTGGTAATTCAGAGAATCTGTTATAGTGCAAACAACAATTTCCTGCACACCCAAGAAAATATCTGTTATTTTTTTTTAATTTCCGTTTTTTTTAAACCTCCTACATATAAGAAATACCAGTAATTGAAATTATTCAGTCTCTTGAGATCTCTCTTTTTTTATTCTATAAAAACTAATCGGTTATCCGAAATATTGATTTTCCAAACAACCCCAGTCCCCAATTGATTCGGATAATCGACGCTCTACTGTATTGAAATAATAATAATAAAAATACCTGGTTTATCAAATACAGATGTTCTACTGCAGTTTGAACAATAATATACAGGATGACCATTCTGAATACGACTTATATTCATGCTTAATTCAGGTCTCCTAAATATTTTAAAATTTTAATTAATTGAATTTAATGTCAGCAATAAAAATAATATTTGAAAATAATTTATAAAATATACTATTATTAAAATTTATTTATTTATTTGAAGTATATTTTAATTAATATGCAAAATTTTATAAATTAAATTTTTTAACGAACTTTTACTCTGATTTTTATGAACTAAAAGAAACTTGATCTATGCTTTAAAATTCATCTACATTCCAGATAAAATAAAAAGTAAAAAATTTTACAAGTTACAATTTAAAAAATCTAAAAACATATATTGATTTTCACACATCTGATTACCGTATTTTAATGCAGATAAGTTCAGCTATAAAAACATCAATTGAAAAACATCACCAAACAATCGTTTGGTGATGTTTCTATTATACATATCGGACTTCACAGTGTTTGTTATACTTATAACATCAATTTAAACTCAAGTGCAAGTTACATGATGTTATGATTTATCTGCTGATTTTGCAACTTGACTTTTATTATGAAATAATTAAACAGTTTTGTTTGTCCAAATGCACATCTTTAAAACATGTGAAAAATCCTTTGCACAATATAATACAGTACAGCCTCGAAAACTCGGCACTCCAGATAACTTGGCCACACCCAGGCAGGGCAAAAAAATCTTTAGTTAATTAATTTTTATTATAGACAGCTTTATGCCTCATAAAGTATTTTTCTGAGGTCTGTCTTATCAGGTAAATTACTGTACACAGTGTATTCATTAATTTTCATTTCATGTAATAAAGGCTCTATGCCTTCATAAAGGATGTACTTTTCCTTTGTTTAAGGGTATTTGGGCAGTTTATTCTCTGTTGTATTCTCAAGCAAACAATACATACAAGTACAGTACATTATTTTCTGAGGAAACATGCATACTTATCCTTTTTTAACCCCATTCCTGATAACCCGGCATTTTCACAAACTCGGCCACCCTTCGGTCCACATTAGGCCGAGTTTTCGA